ATTGTTTCATTTTTTGTATGTCAAGACTTGAAAAGATTTTTTTCCTCCATAAGATGATGGGTTTGCCCAAAATGCAATTGTTTTTGTACAAAAATGGGTTTGTTTGCACAAAATCCTGTATATCTGTTGTGTATGTGTCCAATGTGAAATTTCAACACAAAAAAGTCTCCAAATGGAAAAAGAATATTCTTTTTTTTTTTTTTACAGGTACCTCAATATGTGGGGACAATCTCACTCTCACTGAGGATGAGGAAATTTGAGAACATTCTTAATCGCTGTAGTGCAAAGTCACTGAACAGGCAGCAAATGCAAGAAATGTGAGGAATGACATGATTTCATGGCTTTGGAAGATGGCAGAAGTCACAATATTTGTCTAGTAATGCTAACTCCTGACACAGATCCTATCTATACAGCCATACTTCTAGTGAGTTCATTTTCTCCTTCTGTTTCCTTTTTCATTATAGAACATGCACAGTATTTTAAAGCTTATCTTGTGATACTGAGCAATTTATTTATCCACAATCCCATGGTAATTTATATTATGAGATAAGACAGCAGACAAGGAGCCTTCCACCTGGGAGTGAATGTGGGGTGGTAGCAATATCACCAAAGATTGCCCCTCCAGCCTTCTATGAACTTCAAAAGCCTCTTGCTGTGATCTAAGAGGTTAATACGGAAAGCAGGCTTCCATGTTTCACAGAAAATCTCTAGTAAATAGCCTTCATCAAGCTCAGAAATATTCACTATTTTTTGTCTGACAGGAAGAGAGAGAGAGAGAGAGAGAGAGAAATCCAACTTTATCTAGGGAAAGATGTTATTAGATATGTTCGGAATCCTGTTGGTGGCTTATGTGTAAGTTCTCCTATGGAAGCAGAGGGATATTTTTGTCTGATGCAAAATAATTATATTCAATTCAAGGCTGGAAAAGCAGAATTGCACATTAGCTGCTGTTACACATGTGGTGTGCTGTGCATGGATTTGCATGCTTGTGCATAGTGTGTACATTTGATTGCATGTTCACAATGTAACAATTCACTAACAAGGAAGAGTAACACAAATAATGTGGAACTCTGAAACCCTGAAGTTTCATTCAAGCTTCTTGATATAGGATCTCAGCCAATATCTATGTAGGCTAGTGGTTAAGACTTCAACTTGGAATTGGGTGATAGAAATTCTTGTCTCCATTAAACCTTGACACTCATTCCATAATCTTTTGCTAGCCTTTGACAGGACCAAAGGGACAACCACTCCTGTGCTGGGGTTCTCTCTTGCTGATGTATCTGGCTACAGTGGCACCTGTGTTGAGTCACCAGTGGGTACTGGTCTACAGCTGCTTCCCAACAACCAAAAAAGCTGCTTCCCTGAATGATAGAGAGAAGGGGCTTTGGCTGAATAAGGGAGATACATCCTACAATAAAGAGGAAGGCTGTAGATGTTCTCCTGGGATGAGAGAGTAGAGGCTGGACCTAGCAGAGAAGGTTACCCTCTCAATTACTGAGCTCTATCAGGTTTGGAGGCAATGCTATGGCTGTACCTTATCACACAATGCTGTGTTGTTGTTGTGTGCCTTCAAATCATTTGGACTTATGTTGACCCTAAGGCAAACCTATCATGTGGCAAACCTATCAAACCTATTCTTGGCAAGATTCATTCAGAGGATGTTTGCTATTGCCTTCCCCTGAGACTTAGAAGTTTATTGCACAGTTAATTACATTGCCTTACCTGATCTGGCTTAAATTTTAAATCAGGCTGCATCTGGAGCCTGTCACAAGGATTTAGCCACCAAAATCACCGCCTGAGTCCATCCCCACTCTGGGGCTGCAAAGTGCAGCTTTTTTCAAAGCCGCGAGTTTTCTGGCTTGAGAAAATGGCCACCAGAGTGGCCTTCGGAGCAGGGATGGACCCAGGATGGATCCGGGTGATGATTTTGGCAGCAAAACCCTTGTGATAAGGTCTGGATGCTGCTTGATTTAAAATTTAAACTGGATTAGGTAAGATGATTTAATTAACTGTGCGATAAGCTTCTTAGAGAGTATGACTTGTTCAGTGGGTTTTATGGCTGAGCAGGGAATCAAACCCTGGTCTTTAGAGTTGTAGTCCAACCCTCAAACTGCTACTCCACATTGGCTCTTACAAGCCCTCTCTACCCCCTCCAAAATGGTTGCCGTGTGCACCTGAGTCTGCACTTATATATGCAGAAGTCACTAGCAGCATGCCAGTCAATATATGATTGTTGATTTTGTAAGCTGCTCTTGAGCCCAGCACCATCGGGCCTAGGATAAGAAGAAGAGCCCTTCCTCCATTCCATCCGATGTCATCTGGGGGAGAGGCAACAGGCCCAGCACCTTCGGGCCTAGAGTAAGAAGAAGAGCCCTCCCTCCATTCCATCCAATGTCATCTGGGAGAGAGACACTAGGCCCAGCACCATCTGGCCTGGAATAAGAAGAACCCTTACTTCTTAAAGGACGGGTGGGATTTGCAATTTTTAGGTTCTGTTTAAATTATATTAATATATCTGTATGGAAATTTTAATGTTGTAAGCCACCCAGATTGCTTTGCAGAGGGGCGAGATATAAATTATTATTATTATTATTATTATTATTATTATTATTATTATTATTATTATTATTAGTCAACTTCAACTCATGGCAACGCTGTAGATAAGACATCTCCAAGACCCTCTGTCCTCAACCTCACATTTCAGGTCTTGTAGGCTCAGACCCGTGTCTTCCATGATTGAGTCTAACCATGTGGCATATGATTTTCCTTGCTTTCTATTGCTTTACACCTTTCCTAGCATCATTGTCTTTTCTAATGATTCATTTTTCCTCATGATGTGGTCAAAATACAACAGCCTCAAGTTAAGTCACCTTGGCTTCCAGAGGCAGCTTGATCAGTTTTAGAACCCATTTGTTTGTGTTCTTGGCCACCCATGGTATCCTCAGCACTCTGTTTCAGCACCACATTTCAAATGAGTTGATTTTTTTCCCCTATCTGCTTTTTTCACTGTTTAGCTCTCACATCCGTACATGGTGATGGGGAATACAATGGCTTGGATGATCTTTACTTAGGGCCTCTGCAGACCAGGGCGTCCAGGACGCCCTGGTCCGGAGCACCGCGGGGCCATGGCAGCCTCACCGCGGCGCTCCTCCGGTGAATCTAAAAGGAGCGCCAAATTGGCGGTCCTTTTAGATTTCAGGGAAAGTGCACCCCAAAAGCGGCGGGCACACTTTCCCTGACTCAAACGCCGCGGCGAGTGCGGTCGCCACAGCGTGAGGTCAACCCGGAAGCGCCGGCCGTGCGGATGGCCGGCGCTTCCAGGGGCAACCTCAGGAAGTGGAAGGGGCACCAAACGTGCGGCTGCCCTTCCTCTTCCGGGCCCGGAAGATGACCCAATTAGTCGTCTGCCAAGGCCCTTAGTGTTCAGAGTTATGTCTTTACACGTTATGATCTTGTCCAGATCTTTCTTCGCCTAATCCCAGTCTTCTTCTGATTTCCTGAATACAGTTTATGTTCTGATCAATATTTTGTTAGGGTGTGTTATTGAGGCAAAAGAACAATAGCAGAGATTTTGGAGGTGTTTTAACAAAAAAATAGCTTTACTTAGCAGAAGTCATGAAGTTGAGGCAAAACCAAAAACAGTACAAAATGACACAGTACATATCAATATAACATTACCATTGCAGAAGCATGAAGAGCACTGTTACTTGCAAGGTCAGAACCAGCATGTAGAGCACACTCAGAGTACCACCAAACAGTATGGAGACCATATACAGATAGTTTCCAGCAGCATGGACAACATATTCAAAGAATGCTCCCAAGAGCCTAGCAAACATTGCACTACAGTTATACCTTCCTAATTGATTAATGCATTCACCTGGCCTAATTTGTTAATTACATGAGTTTGTTACACTCTCATCCTGTCACAACTTACAACTAGCATACCCTGACATATTTGAACCAAGGTATGGGAACTCTTTGACTATTTCAATGTTTTCATTGTCTATGATATCAACAATTTATTTTGCCTGTTCGAAGGATGATTTTGCATGTAGTTCAAGCCTAGTGAAGACATTCTGGTTATGTGCACTCCATATGTAGGGATGTCTGCAGGTGTGCATTAGGTCCAACAGAGTGCCTTACCTCTACACATTCAAGGTGGCAATTAGCACTGATGTGCATTGCTCCTATACACACATCATATAGGAAAAACAGATGATCTGGAACAAACTGAACAAAATTCTCTGATATTTGCACAGTTTGCACCATAATCTGTATGCTTTCAAGATGCTCCTACAGCTGAACATGAGAAATATACCCTACATTCAGATTATGGTGCAAACTGTGCAAATGTCAGAGAATTTTGTTCAGTTTGTTCAGGACAAAAGGATTGTGAAGAGTAGGAAGTTAGAAAGTAAAATTGACTGATTGTCCTAGCCCAAGTCTAGTTATGTGTTAATAGCATTATTGACAGAATTAACTATCACATCAGGCTTCATTCAATATAGTTATTGGTTGCTTTACATCCTGATAATTCCAGGTTAAAGATAAATTTGGACAAAATAGGTTTGAAGGAAATCTATATTCCTTTAACATGTATGTAGATTGCATAGATTGATTGTCTTCACATCTACCTTTCTTCTTCCTTTGAGCTCTATGTTTAAAAAACTAGTGCAATCTGTCCAAAAAGATTAAGCATTATTGGTTTGAGACTGGTCTCCTTCCAGACTACACTGCTCTGTGCAGTACTAGTGTTTAATTATAAGAAACATGAATCTCACATGTTTTAAAAACAGTACTTTTTATTTCAAGCCTATTTCTGTCTATCTGTTTGGGACCCTTACTGACAAACACAGATGCATTTGCTTGTTGCAATGCATTTCTGAAGCAAGGATGCACATTGTTTGCAATCTATTCTTGACCTGAGTAAAATGCATTATTTCTTTATTTAACCTTTGAGCAATCTAATAAGATGTTATGCATTAATTGTGCTATGGAAAGCCATTGTGGTATACTGATTAGAATTTTGGACTATGATTCTGGTGACCAGGGTTTGAATCCCGGCTAAGCCATGGCAATCTACTGGGTGACCTTGGGCAAGTCATGCTCTCTCAGTGCCAGAGAATGGCAATGGCAAACCCCCTCTGAAGAAACTTGCCAGGAAAACTCCATGATAGGTTTGCCTTAGGGTTACCATAAGTCCAAATGACTTGAATGCAAATAACAACAAAAACAGCAATGAGAGGACTTGTCTTTGCACTTCATTCCAAATTATGAGAACTGTTTTTTTTCTGAGATGTTGAGCCTTCTCTGTCAGAGACCTCTGGTGCCACAATAAAATACAGTTCCCAGATTCCCTAACCCTAACCCTAAAAGTGGACTCAATTTGCACTATTTCTGGCAGTCTGCAACCCTAGTGGCTGTGTTCCATTTAAGAGTTCATCTTCATTTCTTCTTCCGTAACTTAGGGTGCATCTGCACTATAGAAATAATGCAGTTTGACACCTCTTTAACTGCCATGGCTACTCCTTACAGAATCCTGGGATTTGTAGTTTTGTGAGGAACAGCAGGAAAGCTAAAAACCTTGTAAAACTACAAATCCCAGAATTCCCTAGGATGGAGCTTCAGCACTTAAAGTGTTCTCAAACTACATTATTTCTACAGTGTAGATGCACCTCAGGCTGATACCAATTGCTTCTCCATGATAGGTGGTGAAAGGACATGAAGGAACATGCATGGATCATGGCCATTATATGGCAATGCAAATAAGGCAGAGCAAAATCCAAGTAAACAAAGGGACTCCCAATTGATAATCTGTTGTTCTAGTCTGGGAACAATGAAATTCATGATGGAATTCCTTGCGGGGATGTGTGTTAAATTACAGCTTCATATGTGCATATTTAAATTAAAGTATTTTGTCTGGCAAACGTTGACAATCCTAGAGGAGGGGGAGATAATCTGTTCCTTTCCATTTTGTGGTTTCCAAAAATCATTACAGATGGAGTAAAACCTTTTCTCATATGCTGTTCCTAGTCAAATAAACAAACAAGTGTGCAGCATAGGAGAAACATATCTCTCATTTTCATATATTTCAAATCTTCCAGTATTTACCAGGAGACATTAAGAAACCCTTGTTAAAGCAGACAGCTCACAAAAGCTATTTCAAACAGATTTGCTGTGTACTGTTGACACACGGGAGATACAGCTGTTTGTGCAGGAACTATTAAACTAACGCTGGATTGCTACTATTGTAAATTTAACTCCATAGCACAAATTAAAGCCCAGGTGTTCCTGCAGAGGTAAAGAAGCTGCACCAGTTCAGACAGAAGGAGAGGCTTCGGGGGGTGTCCAGTATATAGAGGACAGCTCTGTAGTTGAAGGCCTCCTCTATATGGAGGGTTGTCTAGTCAAAGAACGTTTTCACACGGGGCTTTAGACGGAGGCAATCCTACCTCCGTCCGGCCCCACTCCGGCTCCATTGTCAAACTTCTCACACGACGTTGCATCAAGCACCGCCCCATCCAGCGCCATCCCTGGCGCTATCCGGCGTCCGTCCAGGGTCTTGCTGCGCGTGTTCATATGACATCGCAGCAAGCCCCACCCCATCCAGCGCCATCCCTGCACCATCCCCGGCACTGGCCGGCTTTAGCCCCATCTTTCTAATTCCTTTTTTAAAAAGGAATTAGAGGGGCTGCTGCTGGAAGCAATCAGGAGCCATTCCAGCGGCTGCTGCTTTCACCGCCAGAATGGCTCTTCTTTGCTTCCAGGCAGCTTCCAGGCAGCTTTAGAGCTGTCCGTGTGAAAACGTCCAAAGTTTAGTTTAAAGACAAAGACCCATAAAAAGTAGAGACTGGAAGCCTTTTAGTTGCTAGCAACTGGAAAGAAGAATTTGCAGTCAGCACGCATTATCAGCTCATGTTTCCCCCCACTATGGTGGGCTGTATTGTATTTAAATACAAATTAAAGCCACCATTGCAATATTGAGCTCTTGCATCTGAGAATGGGTCTGTCTGTCAATTTCACTTGATCCCACAGTGGGGTGACTTCTGATTTTTTCAACCCACTCCTATCCCACTTTCTTGGCAGCATTCACACTACAGAAATAACCTGGTGTGAAACCAGGTTATTTCCTTGCCATTCATACTCACCCTGAATATACTCACTGCACTTTGTGTGTGTGTGTGGGGGGGGGAACACTACCCCAAAACCCACTTAACCTGGGACATTCGATACTGGGTTTTCCCCATGTCTTTTTGAAAGAACAGCATTGTGAATATGTTACCAAATCAGTTCAGATCATTCTGTATTGTTCAAGGGAATGAAGGCCCACATGTGAATAACAGGGGTAAAATGACTCAGAGAGATTCGGGAACACAAAATGTATGGAAGCAATGATCCTGATATGCATCCGCATGGTGATCTGCTTTTCCTCGGAACAAAAATCTGGTGTGAATGCCCCTCAAATGCCCCAGTTTCTGTCTTACCCTCCCATTTCCCCCCCTTTATCCAATTATTATTCAATTGCTGCAAACTGAGTTCAAAGTACAAAAGTAGTTTGCACTCCACTCAACAGAGAGGTCAGAAGAGGAGGGAGTATAGTTTCCTAAATTCAGAACATGAATTTCATGATCTCTGTTTAAAACAGTAGTTTTGTTCATCCTCATTAATGACTTTTGCCCTTTTCTTGCCTGGACATATCCTTTTTGACCCCACTCTGATGTGCACTGGTTTTCATCTGTAAAATGTTGGATGGTATGGAATGACTGGGGTGTTATAAGTTGGAGTTATAAGTTCAACTTTAAAGCACACAACAATTTCAAATTAAATTGCAGCCCCATAAAGGCTCAGGGGGGGGGGGAACAACACACAAACTGGCCCCTGCCATTCCCACTTCCACTGATGCCTGAATAGCAACTTTCCAGCACAATCCTATCCATGCCTACTCAGAAGTGGGTATCATTAAATTAAGGCAGGCTTGCTTAGGTAAATGCAAAACTAGGCTGTCATGGTCTATGTTGCATAACTGTAAAAATCATTAGCAACACTGCAGAGACACAAAAAAAAAATCCTGTTAGTGAATTGCAGGGATGCTCATCCAGGTACCAACAAGAGTATTCCAATATGCATTAGGTGCTTCTAATGCACATCAGGTGCTCCTGATGAGCACTAGGCATTTGTGATACACATTGGGTACTTTTGATGGACATCGAGTACTCCTGTTTCATTCCATCACATTCTTGCTGGTGTCTGGATGTGTCTATTGGTGCTTATTGTGCATCAGTCACTCCACCATCGTGGAATGGACACTCATATGTAGTAATGTCACAGCAATCCCTGAGTGAATACAAATGTTGAAAAACTACTTACCCCTATTTCCTGTACACATCAGTCTACTTACAAAGATGTAAGTCTCATGTTGAATTCTAGCCCATATTTTTACATAGGTAACCACAGTCTGCTTGAAAATTAGGAGGGGTGAATTTGCCTTCACAGGAAATGACAGTCATCTGATTTTCTTGACATCAAGATTTGAATAAGGTACTTGCATCTTTGAAAAGTAGATTTGGCAAAGAGCTCCGTAGGCTGACAATAAAAAAAAATTCAGAGACCATTTAAGGCATAGGCTGCCATTATCTTATCAAATATTGGTGTCAACTGAAACCAGGAGTACTTGACAGACATGAAAAATCAAATCCCAAGTGAATGTGTAAGCAAAGAAAGATAATGTACAAGGGTTTCTATCTCCCCACCCTCAGTAATAATAGATTTCAGAATTTCCATTACATCTGTTCATTGCTGTGAAATCCATTCTGTATCCTGTGAAAAACAACAACAGTGGAGATCCAAAACTGCAGGTTTGTTTTTTAAAAAGCCATTGCTTTAGATTTTTATTCTAGAATAGGCAACTTGGCATTTCCCATATGTTCTGGGTCCAAAACACACTGGAGAAATAATCCAGTTTGAGACAAGTTTAACTGCCCTGGGTCATTGCTAGGGAATTCTGAAAACTGTAATTTTGTGAGACATGTAGCCTTCTCCATCAGAGAGCTCTAGTGCCACAAGAATCCACAATTCCCAAGATTCCTTAGCACTGAGCCAGGGCAGTTAAAATGGTCTCAAACTGAATTATTTCTGCAGTGTGTTTGGACCCCAGACTACAACTCCCATCAACCCCTGCCTATTCACAACAGTCCCTATTTAAAAATACAAGGGACACTAGACTGTAGGTGGGACATTTTGCAAAAGACACTGTTTTAAGTCCAATTAGAGTGAGAAATATGGGAGTTGTACTCCAAACCATCTGGAAAGTACCAGGTTATCTATAAATCAGTCCTAGAGAGATTGTTCCAATGATTCCTAAACAGTCAAGCTCAAACACAAGCAAAGTATAAACTGAGAAGCTCTTCCAATTAACAAATTAATAGAAGTTCTGCCTTTCTATTTGGAATCATAGCATAATAGCATCATAGACTAGAAAGGGACCACAGGGACAGCTACTCTAACCTCCTGTCATGCAGGAATATATAACTTAACTTAAAAAACAGCCATCCAATCTCTGTTTAAAGATCCCCAAAGATGGAAAGTCCATCATGCTCTGAAGCAATCTGTTCAATTGTTGAACCACTCTTAAAGTCAAGCAATTATTTCTAATGTTCAGGTGAAATCTTTCCCCCCTATAATTTTAATCCATTGATTCACAGTCTAGTCCATATTTCCATGTTTGACAGATTTTGTTGAGGACTGATACCATAAAACTGAAGGAAAGTTATTTATTTTGCTCACTGAGCTCTCTTTTGAAAGGCACTTTCACTTCATACTGCTGCGTCTTCCTCTACATCCCTTTCTATCATAGACAACACTGTATGCTGTGCTACAAAATCCCAACATAAAATCTTGGCCCATCGTTTCAGGCCACATTTTTGTTATGTTCATTACATCAAATATCAGTGAGAGCTTTCCTCCCTTCGAGAAGCCTCTCCATTCCCTACAACATGTACAATCTACAGTATACTGGTCACAGAGTCTAGGTAATAATCCATAATAATAACAAAGGTTTGCATTTTGTTTATCA